GTAATTTTCAGTTGCGAGTTGTATCCCAAAGTTTGAAGGACTTGAGTGCTTTGTGTGTCTCTGGATATGTTTTTCCCTTGCTTCAGTTCTGATAATATCAGAACATCTTGCAGATTTCTTTGTTTGTTAATGGGGCTAGGTTACAACTATAACAACAAAATTGAGTCACTTTATGGTGGTTGTAGCGGTGAAATTAAATTTCTCAGTTGGAGAGAGTAAAGAGAATTAAATAGATCACAATGTTTTCAAAACTACTATTTGGAAGGAAGATTCTAAATAACTGCTTGACCCTGTGAAAATAACATACTGTGGACAAGTAAAGTTGCTCTTTGCTCGCTGGTATTACGCAAATAGTGTTTAGTATTTATTCTCCACGTGTTCCCACCCAGTTCTAACTAGTGAAGTGTTCTTCTATAATGTGTGAATATCCAATGGATGGGACTGTTCTGATATAACTGTGCTTAACTGCCCAGCTATTCTGATCTTTTACTTTGTCATGGAGAAGCACCAACTACTTTTTGGCATCTTCAGACACCACTACTTCTGGAGCAAAGTTGAGGGGTAAATAGCCTACTAATGTTCCCGTTGATCCTAGGATCACCGTGCATCAGCAATTTTTGTAAACTGGAGTTTACATAAGGAGTCATTTTTAAAACCCTGGTATATTCAGTTTGATTTGAGCGCAACCTCACAATTGGGTGTAGTTACTGCATGTTAATAGTTTAAACAGATGTCTAAATTAAATGGTTGAAGTTGACCTTCTTGAGCAGAGTAACCAAAATGAATCTAAATTTAGTCTTTCAGACTTGAGACCTCGTACAGTAAATAGACAGTTAGAACTTATACATGGAAATTACTCTAATTCCCAGTTGTCAGTCATGAATAAATGGCATGTAATGTGGATGTTGTCATAGTGTATATTCCACTGGATTTTTATAGCAGTTTATATGAAGACTCGATTAACATGAGATCCCTGAATTTAACCCATGTCAAGGTCATAAATGTGGTTGAGCTGTTACTTGGAGAAAATTAATTTATGCAATGGAAACACGAGTCAATTTTAAGCTTTGCCCAAGCTTATTTTTAAGAGGATATACAAAGAAGTAAACCACTGTGTTTTTGTTCGAGAGCTTTTAATTTTAGTCTTTTTGAGAAATGGACTTGAATATAATGGGAAGATTAGCCATGTGACTGTGCAGCTGTAAAATCTGAAACATTGATGTGTTTGCCAAGTCTGTCTTTCTATAGAAAGAAACAATTAACATTTTAGGTCTGTGATCTTTCAATATAACGACTTATTTCAAATTTCCAGCATCTGGAGTGGTTTGCCCCATTCTTCCCGTGCCCCTACAAACCTTTTTGCTTGAAATATGCATTCAGTTCCCTTTCAAAAAACTTAGTGAATCATCGTCCACCACCCTTGCTGGCAATACATTTAGGATCACCATAATTCTGTTTAAAATGGATTCCTTAACGTCTTGGGTATTTTGACTTTCATCTTAAGTCTTAGTCCTTTGGTTACCAATTCTCTTGCCACTAGAAACGGTTGTTTCTTATTTGCTCTATATCTTAAAACTTCATGATTTGATATACCTTTCATCAAATTTCTTCTTGACCTTCTCTGCTGGAAGGAGAACAACCATAACTTTTGCAATCTTCATGTAACTGAAGTCGCTCATCACTTGTATCAAAGTAAATCCCCTCTGCATTATCTTTAAGACCTTGCTGACTTTCCTAATGTGTAATGCCTGGGATTGGATGCAGTATTCTAGCTGGGGTTTAGTCAGCGTTTCATCAAAGTTTAGCATAGTCAGGTATTGATATGAGAACAGTAAAAATGTAATCTGAAAGTAATGACATCCGAGTATGCTGACTATAGTCCTAAACCTTTGGAATGACTCCACTGTAAAAGGGCATTTAGTTTACTGCTTTAGATCTAGAATGAAGAAGGTGCCACTGTGGCCAGTGCTCTCAGTACCTTTTGGTTTTGTGTGAAATACAGTTGAGCAATCCTACCTTCCAAATTGATGTGTAGGTCGTAATTTCTTATTCATTGGCAATACCTCTGAAAGGCTACGAGGGTGATTGACTTAACAAATGTGCATATCGGTGTAAGGAGTGGTCAAAAAAATTGGTACATGTAAATTAAACTTTAATCTGATATTCCTGACAGCTGATTAACCTAATATTCCTTGGGTAGGCGATAGCCTAGTGGTATTATCATTGGACTGTTAATTCAGAGACTCGGATGATGTTCTGGGAACCCAGGTTCGAATCCTGCCATGTCAGATGGTAGAATTTGAATTCCATAATAAATCTGGAATTAAAAGTCTAATGATGACCATGGAACTATCGTCAGTTGTTGTAAAAACCCATCTGGTTCACTAAATGTCCTCCACATAGTCTGACCTACATGTGGCTCCAGACCCACAGCAAGGTGGTTGACTTTTAACTGCCTTCTGGACAACTAGGGATGGGCAACAAAATACTTGCCCAGCCAGCTATGCTGACTTCCCGTGAATGAATTAAAAATAAACATGAAAACGCTTGATGCTCTAGCTAAGTCCGGAAATGAGCAAATCTTCCATTCCCTGGCACAACTATCTTTCACTTTAATAGGTACGGTAAGTTTCAATGATTGGATTCAGGCTGCTCAGTTAGTGTTTGGAGATGTGCTGTTTTGGTATTTCAGTAGAGCTCTTGATTATTTCAGGTGTTACAGTATAGTAATAACTGAAATTCAGCAAAGTAAATTTGCAGCTGTCAGTTGAAAAACGTCAGGTGTTTTAAATAGTCAAACTGCATTATTAATTTATAAGCCGTGACATACTTCAACATCATGAGTATGCTATTTCAGTACTGTATTGTATGTTAAGTTGTGAAGTTTGTGTTGGGATGGATTAATAGACATTCAAATGAATGTAAGAACGAACAAACATTTTAACTTGTTAACCCTCGGGCTGAAATAAACTTGATTCTGAATAGAATTTAATTAAATGTTTTGTGTTCATTAAGATTAAATGCTTGAAGGGTTCTATTTAAAAAAAAAATTAGATGCCTTTTAAAAAATAATGTCTCTTTATGTCCCAACTATAAGTAATTTACAGAACTGTAATTCCACTAATTAGAGTAGGCGGACAGAGGTTATAAAGAATAGTAATTTGTTTTAACTGATTTGTAATGAGAAAAGCTGGATTAGTTCAGTAGTACAATACTTTTGCTTTTGTTGTACAAAATACAATCGTTTATTAATCAACAGTGCAGTTCAGTCAATGGAATGCTCAACTTTTCGTTGATGCTGTGTCATATACTGTAGTTTTAAATCGCTTGGGGTTTTACCGGCTGCTTTTTTTTTCTTGATTCAGTTCTGTCTTTGAATAGGGTAGGAGTGCAGTTAGATTATGCTTGTCTTCAAGCCCATTTAATTATTTCCACTTTAGCTGGAGGACATTGTGCAAATCAATTTCTGAATTGTTTATATATAAGTATGAGCTTTTTTTATTGCAAGCTTGAACGTTTCAGTAAATCAAAGTACAATCATTTTTCCCTAATAGCTAAAGAAATGAGGAATCTATTACAGTAAACTGACCGTGATAACAGAACAGACAAATGTAGATCAGTGGAAGAGAACCAGAAAATCTAGAATAGAAATATGATGGAAACTGGTGGCCATGCAGTGGATCTAAATTGTAGTTTGTAGTTGCAACTTAAAAAGAAATGTACCCACTTCTAGAACGTGGGTTTCTTTGAGAAGGTGGTGGTGAGCTGCCTTTTTGAATCTGCAGTCTACATGCTCTGTAAGTTGACTCTCAATACCCTTAGGGAGCAAATTCCAGGATTTTGACCCAGTGACCTATGGTGATGCCAGTTGGTCCAGCTGGTTTCATTTCTTTTGTAGTGTTTTGATAAAATTGAGTGGCTTGCTGGGACATTTCAGAGGGCAGTTGAGAGTCATCAATGTTGATATTGATCTGGAGTTGTGTGTAGGTCAGACCAGGCGAGGATGGCAGATTTCCTTCCCTGAAGGACCTCAGTGAAACAGATGGGTTTTTCCAGTCGACAATGGTTTCACGGTCATCAGTAGATTGTTAATTCTTAACTTTTTTTTATTGAATTCAAATTCATCTGCCATGGTGGTATTCGAACCTGGTCCTCTGTCAGCTGAATTTCTGTATTAATAGTCCAGTGATATTACTATGAGGCCATCGCCTCCCCATGATTTATTTCATGTAGAAATTTTATTGATGTGTTTCCATGTTGTGTGTATTTTTTAACTACGTGAGTAATCTTTTTGATTTTCCCAGACAGTTGGTCAAATGGGTAATGATAATTGTTTAACAGAGACAAGATCTGACTCGCTCATAAATAAATCGGGCTATTCCAGCTAATCAGAATTTTAGATTCTGGCATATTTTCAGAAAACTGGATTCTCTGGTCTTTTTGTTGGCCCACTTTTGACTATGCACAATATTTTAGGACTGTTAAATTTGAGTTGAATCTCTTGTAGAAACAATTGAATGTTAAGAAACAAATTATTCGTTGATTTCTGTGTACTGAATATGGATGACTTTCTCAGAATCATGAATGTGAGCTGCTATCAGTCAGAATTTTGTAAGGGCTTTGAAATGGTGTTCTAAGTTTTTTTAAAAGATAAAGTCGCCGTAGTCCTACCGAGTCATACGACTGCTCTCTTATCAAAGAGGGTCCCCAAGCCTCAGGCACGGGGAGAGATTGAGAAGGCGAGTCCTTCGTGGTAACCTCAGTCGGTGTGGGAGTTGAACCCATGCTAATTTCTGAAAGCTGTTGCTCTGTCTTTTGTTACAATCCGGAGCTCTATCTTTTTCTTTACAGCTTGACAGTGCAAGTAGGGAAAATTAGAGAAACTGTTATAAAAAATTTAATATCAGAGCACTTAAAAAAACAATGACAGGATTGAACTGTCAGCTTGGATTTATAAAAGGGAATTCATGCTTGACAATTCCATTGGAATTTTTTTTCAGGGTGTAACTAGTAAAAGTGAGAAGGAGGAAACTTGTGGTGGATGTGGTTTACTGGAACTCTCCAAATGGGTTTGATAAGATTCCATGTAAGAGGTAAGCACATAAAATACTAGCACGTGGAATTGGGAGTAGTGTGATGACATGGATAGAGACCTGACTGGTAGACAGGGGCCAGAAAGTAGGAGTAAATGTGTCACTTTGAGTAACAGTCAGTGACCAGTGGGGACTCCAGGAATCTGTACTTGGACTCAAGTTATTCAAAATGTATATTAATGATTTGGATGAGGGAGCTAAATGTAATATTTCCAAGTTTGCAGACAACACAAACCTGGGTGGGAATGTAAACTGAGAGGAGAATGCAGAGGTGCTTCAGTATGATTTGGACAAGTTCAGCAAGTTTACAAATGCATGGCTGATGTCGTATGTAATGTGATAAATGTGAGGTTATACACTTTGGTAGCAAAAACAGGAAGGCAGATTATTATCTGAATGGTGATAGATTGGCGGTGCAACAAGACCTGGGTATCCTTCTACACCAATTGCTGAAAGTAAGCATGAAGATGCAGCAGATGGTAAAGACAGCAAACGGTATGTTGCCCTTCATAGTGATGGATTTGAGTACACCTGCAATTCCACAGGGCCTTTGCTGAGATTACACCTAACATATTGTGTCCAGTTTTGGTCTCCTTACCTAAGGGAGGATGTTCTGGCTACAGAGGGAGTTCAACAAAGATTTACCAGACTGATTCCTGGGATGGCAGGACTGATGTATGAAGAATGACTGGATCAGTTAAGACTTGTATTGGCTAGAATTTAGAAGAATGAGAGGACATCTCATGGAAACGTACAGGTTCTAACTGGACTAGATAAGGTAAATGAAGGAAGGATGTTTCCAATGACCAGGAGTCCAGAACCAGGGGGTCATAGTCTAAGAATATGGGATAGACCATTTAGATTAGGAGAGTTCTGTTAACTCACTGAAGGGATATGGGTGTCGCTGATGATCAAACGACTATTGCCTGCCCTTTGTTGCTCTTGAGAAGGTGCTGGTGAGCTGCCACCTTGAACTGCTGCAGTCTGAGTGTTGTATGTTGATCCACAAAGCTTTTAGGGAGGCAGAATTTTGACCCAGTGACTTTGAGAGAACAGTAATATATTTCCAGGTCTGGAATTTATACTACATCTGTTAATATTTGAGTTTAGGACAGAATTGGGCTTTTAAACCAACTGGGTGTGCACCTGTTTGCGTTCTGCCCGAGCTGCCTCCAACCCCTTGCCATTTAACTCTATCGGCATACTCTTCCATTCCATTCCCCTCCTTATCTAGCTTGCTTTTAAGTGCACCTGTACTATTTGCTTCAATGACCCCTGTTGGTAATGCATTCCATACTTCCATTGATTAAAGAAATTTCTCCTGAATTCCCTATTGGACTTTATAAATCTAATCTTCCTCATAGTCTCGACTTTGGCCTTCCCCAGAAATGGGCCTTGAAGGGATCACACTGATCTTCCTTCTTCTAAGGAAAAGAAGCACAACTTGTTCAATTTTTCCCATTGATTTAACGGCAGTTGTTATATCATCCTTTTGGATTTTCTTTTGCCCTTTTCTGATGCCTTGTCCTTTTATAATATGGAATCAGAACTGGGGCACACTTCCAGATGTTTTCTAACCAAGGTTCACAATTAATACAGTATTGGAGTAGGCTATTTGGCCATCTTGACTGTGCTGGCTCTCAAAAGATGCTATTCAGTTAGTGCCATCACTGCGAAACTCTGCACGTTCATTCTTATTCAGCTCATCCAATTTCCCCTTGATTGTTTTGATTTAACCTGCCTCCTGCACACACTCTGGCATTGCATTCCGGATGATGATTGCTGTGTAGAAAAAAGGTTTTCGTAAAGTCATTGCTTTTGTCAATTACTTGAAATCTATGCCATATTGATCTCAAATTTTTCACAAATGGGCACAATTCTCCATGGGTTTAATGTAATTTCTCTATTTTTAAAAAATCTATTCTTCTAGAAATGAAGTCTAATACTTGGTTTGCTTAATTTTTTAACCTTTATTTCTATCTTGTGATTCGAGTATCTGCATTCCTGGAACCCTTTGCTTCTCTACCCCATTTGGATTCTTCTTTTTAAAGGACTGTGGCTTTCTTAATCTGTTTACCAAAAATGCACCATCTCACATTTGTCCATGTTGAAATTTGTGCCAATTGAACACTCTTCCTAGCAAGCTTCATGATCTCTATATTCTGCAAGATCCCCTCAAAAATGTGGTGTCATATGTAAGTTTAGAAGTTGTACATCTTATTCCTGAAATCTAACAGTGAACAACAGTAAAATAAAGCACAGAACTGTTGGTGCTGAAAATCTGAAATGAAAACCAAAATTGCTTGAGAAACTCGGCAGAACTGGCAGTGTCTGTGGAGAGAAAGCAGATTTAATGTGATAGGTCTGGTGAGCCTTGTTCAGAGCTCTGAGTTCTGAAGAAGGCCCACTGGACCCAAAAGTTTAACTCTGCTTTCTCTCCACAGATCATGTTAGACTGCTTGTGTTTCTCCAACACTTTGTTTTTGTTTGTTACATTTCCACCTTCCTTCAGTTCTGAAGAAGACATGTTTGTCAGACCTGACCGTCAAATTTTATAATATGATCCTAGACCAGATCACCAAATTGTTATGATCTGGTTAAGGACCAGTAACCTTTATTTTTAAAATACACAAAAGGTGTGCTCAGGGACTTGTGAAGAAAGTGCAGCCACAAGATTCCACCGTTATGTACAAACAAGACTGTACTATACAAGTTAAAACTGTGCTATAAAAGTTATAATCTACAATACATGTAACCCTTATTTCCAGTACTTGGATATAACATAGTCATACAGCATGGAAACAGACCCTTCAGTCCAACCAGTCCATGCTGAAAAAAATCCCAAACTAAATTAGTCCCACCTGCCTTTTCCTGGCCCATATCCCTCCAAACCTTTCCTATTCATGTAGTTATTCAAATGTCTTTTACATGTTCTAATTGTGCCACCATCCACCACTTTCTCAAGAAGTTCATGCCGCCCTCTGAATCGCCCTCTTTTTTTTTTTAGACATTACTCCATGTTTTTTTGAAATCTGTCTCCTCTCATCTTAAAAATGTTCCCCCAGTCTTGAAATCCCCCCATCCTAGGGTTAATGCTTGGTGTCTTTTCCCTATCTATACCCCTCGTTATTTTATAAACCTTTATAAGGTCACCTCTCAACCTCCCACACTCCAGTTAGAAAAAGTCAAAGCCAATCCAGCCAGTCTTTATAACTGAAACTTTCCATACATGTGGTCTACATGGATAACATTCTGTGATTCAACACCCCATCACAAGCATCAAATAGCAAACGCAATCAAGAGAGATCCACTGACACAATGGGTCCTTAAATCTCGTTAAACTTCCCAAAGGGTTGCAGGTCTTCACTTTTGCTGATTCAACCTTGAAGCTCCCCCTCAAATTTATTTTGTCATTATCTACCTCAACTGCTCCTGCTCTGGTTAATCACACTGGTGTCCTAAATTCATGCTCCCCAAAACACTGAAAATTACTCTCTAGTATTATTCACGACTCTAACTTTAGCTGATAGCTAAATTCACAAAGCTTAAAAATTGCTCTGGGCTTTGAGCTCTAATCTTGTATAGATGTATGAAGCAAATATGGCTTGAGATTTTCAGCCCCTTCTCTCTTACCTTCACTGCAGTAGTATTGCTTGCCAGCTTCTTCTAAGCTCCTAACAGCATCTCTCAGTACAGAGTCAATGATGTTCCCACTTTCTTGACTCGCCAGGGCTACTGAGTCCTACTGTCAATTCTTAACTGCCTTCTAATCTCTAGAACTTGTTTCCTGAATTGTTTCTAACAGCACAGTGCCATCCAATTGCTCTTGACTCATTCCCAATAGTACAGCTAACAGCCTAACATGGCAGTTCTATCTGTCTGCCTCTTCAGCTCTGACTCCATAACTGTTTTTCACTGCTGTTCAAACTGTCCTGAGTGACTTTTTGAAAGCCTGGCAATAAGTTCTGACATTATTAGGCAGAATTGGATGTTGCCACCCACTTGGAATTCCCTGTACTCCTGAAAGTTAGTGTTTCCATTTTCGCAGAATACTGGCTTTTATCACAAATAATGCATACGAAAGGATTAATCACATTTAACTCCGATGTTAGCCCTGTTTTTTGCCCTAGGTACTGCCTGAGCTGCTAAGTACTTCCATCTCTTGGTTTTTTTTTACCTCTGCTGTCTTTCGAGACATCTGGTTGCTTGTGCAATTAAATAATTCACATTAGAGGTACATTTGTTTTAAAATAAAGTAACAACACTGGTGTGTGCACTGGAACAAACCTGACCTAAAATATAATTATTCATGTTCAAGTTAAGTATTTATGATTGATATAGTTCACTATTTTCTGGGATTCAGTTTTATTGGTACAATGTTCCTTAGTGGTTAGGTTGCATTGTAAATTAGCTTACTGTTATGGAAAGCAATTACTACTTGTACAATGAAATTTTCATTAATTGAAGCTTATTAACCAAAGTTTCCAGGCTTGCTGCCGATGTGTGATGCAATATTCAGGAAGTAACTTCCTAATTAAATAATTCCCACGTGTTGAAGATGTATTTGAGGCAAATTTAAAATAAATGCTTGGTATATTTCATGTATCAAGAAGACTCCTAATATTTAAGGTTCTGGCAAAGATTTGTAGCTTGGGTTGTGGTTGAGGTTGTTGACTGGCTTGCCGAGCTGGCTGGTTATATTTTAGATGTTTCAACACATGCTAGGTAACATCATCAGTGCAGCCTCCGATGAAGCAATGTTATTCTATTCAATTTAGTATTTATATGATCCAGTTTGTTGACGTGTTTTGTCATTTTCTGTTTTTTTTTTTGCAAGGGTTTGTATATGGGGTATAATTCCACATGTTTATTGATGGAGAACCAGGCCTCTAGGAATTCCCATAAGTGTCTATGGTTGGCTTGAGCTAGGATGGTCATGTTGTCCCAGTTAAATTGATGGCCTTCATTGTCAGAGTGTACTGAAATGAGGGAAAGTTTGT